AACAATGATAGCAAGTTGAGTGTTAAAGAATCCAAGGATCTTAGTGTAGTTCACAAGAGGGTGAAGGCTGCACTAGAACTGTCATCTGGGTTAAAATGCTGAAATACTTCAGTACTGATTAGGAAAGATAAATTCTCCACTTTTTGAGATCACAAGTGACCTGACAACATAATCCAGTATTGGCCACAGAGATAAGTAATGGGGCCTGCGCGTGTGTAGGCATGGATGGGGTGGCTGAGGCAGCATCTCTCCACATCACCCAAGGATAGGCAGCAAAGTCTGAGCCTATTTGGTATCAGGAGCAGTGTTGGTGGCAGGGGCTGAGGCCCAGGCTTTCCAATCCAGGCCATGAGATGCACACCCAGCCAATGCTGGTTGCCTCAGACATAATGTCTATCAATTTAATGAGAAAGTTAGAAGAACCGGATGTGATTCTCCATGTCAAATCATGACTCAGACAGAACTAATGAAGTTATGATGGAATGATTTAATAAACAGCTCATGTTATAGCTTATATCAGTTGAAAGTACTTTTTTGATATGTATAGCTTACTTATATAATAAAGGGGGATATACTAGTAATTATAATGCTTCATTTATAGTCATGTACCACATATCAATGTTTTGTCAATGACAGACCACATATACAATGGTGGTATTCTGTATAGCCTAGGTGCGTAGTGTTCTATACCAGTGGTCCGCAAACTACGGCTTGCGAGACACATGCGGCTCTTTGGCCCCTTGACTGTGACTCTTCAACAAAATACCGACTTCTTCGCATGGGCCATGAAGTTTCAATTGCACTATACGTGCGCGCCCACCCGTGGTATTTTGTGGAAGAGTCACACTAAAGGGACCAAAGAACCGCACATGGCTCGCAAGCTGCAGTTTGCCGACCACTGTTCTATACCATCTAGGTTTGTGTATGTGCATTCTGATGTTTGCACAATGACAACATTGTTAAAAGATGCTTTTCTCAGAGTATTTTGCCATAGTTCAGCAGTGCATGACTGAATAGATTGATATATTGATTTAAAATGCCATTCTAGTAGTTGAATATATTTAGTATCACTGCTAGGTAGAATTATTGATTTCTTTGAGGCTCTAAGTATGGACATTAAGATATATAATATTTATATGTATATATGTGTGTAAGAAGAATTTACAAACCAATAGAAAAATAAATAGAATAAGAAAGCTAAAAAATCAAAGAACTGACACCCCCCCCTCCCCCGTCGGGTCCGGGTTCGCTTGCCTCGTCAGCGTCCGCGTTTTTCCCGCCTCACCAACCCCCCCGGACAGGACCCCTTGAGCTCGTCCCTCAGCTGCCACCATGAGCAACCAAGATCACTCCATGGATGAAATGACAGCCGTGGTGAAGATTGAGAAAGGAGTTGGTGGCAATAATGGGGGCAATGGTAATGGTGGTGGTGCCTTTTCTCAGGCTCGAAGCAGCAGCACAGGCAGTAGCAGCAGCAGTGGAGGAGGAGGAGGAGGAGGACAGGAATCCCACCCATCCGCTGGCAGCTGGATGTCATTAAACTAATTCTTTCCCTCTCATTTTTTTGGGTAGGAATCCCAGCCATCCCCTTTGGCTCTGTTGGCAGCAACTTGCAGCCGAATTGAATCACCCAATGAAAACAGCAACAACTCCCAGGGCCCAAGCCAGTCAGGGGGCACCAGTGAGCTTGACCTCACAGCTACACAACTCTCACAGGGTGCCAATGGCTGGCAGATCATCTCTTCCTCCTCTGGGGCTACTCCTACCTCAAAGGAACAGAGTGGCAGCACTACCAATGGCAGCAATGGCAGTGAGTCTTCCAAGAATCGTACCGTCTCTGGTGGGCAGTATGTTGTGGCTGCCACCTCCAACTTACAGAACCAGCAAGTCCTGACAGGACTACCTGGTGTGATGCCTAATATTCAGTATCAGGTAATCCCACAGTTCCAGACCGTTGATGGGCAACAGCTGCAATTTGCTACTACTGGGGCCCAAGTGCAGCAGGACGGTTCTGGTCAAATACAGATTATACCAGGTGCAAACCAACAGATCATCGCAAATTGAGGAAGTGGAGGCAACATCATTGCTGCTATGCCAAATCTACTCCAGCAGGCTGTCCCCCTCCAAGGCCTGGCTAATAATGTCCTCTCAGGACAGACTCAGTATGTGACCAATGTGCCGGTGGCTCTGAATGGGAATATCACTGTGCTACCTGTTAACAGTGTTTCTGCAGCTACTTTGACTCCTAGCTCTCAGGCAGTCATGATCAGCAGCTCTGGGTCCCAGGAGAGTGGCTCACAGCCCGTCACCTCAGGGACTGCCATTAGTTCTGCCAGTTTGGTATTGTCACAAGCCAGTTCCAGCTCCTTTTTCACCAATGCCAATAGCTATTCAACAACTACTACCACCAGCAACATGGGAATTATGAACTTTACCACCAGCGGATCAGCAGGGACCAACTCTCAGGGACAGACATCCCAGAGGGTTAGTGGGCTCCAGGGATCTGATGCTCTGAACATTCAGCAGAACCAGACCTCTGGAGGTTCACTGCAAACAAGTCAGCAAAAAGAGGGAGAACAAAACCAGCAGTCACAGCAACAACAGATTCTTATCCAGCCTCAGTTAATTCAAGGGGGACAGACCCTCCAGGCTCTTCAAGCAGCACCATTGTCAGGGCAGACCTTTACAACTCAAGCTATCTCCCAGGAAACCCTCCAGAACCTCCAGCTTCAGGCTGTTCCAAACTCTGGCCCCATCATCATCCGGACACCAACAGTGGGGCCCAATGGACAGGTCAGTTGGCAGACTCTTCAGCTGCAGAACCTCCAAGTTCAAAACCCACAGGCCCAGACAATCACCTTGGCCCCAATGCAGGGTGTTTCCCTGGGGCAGACCAGCAGCAGCAATACCACCCTTACACCCATAGCCTCAGCTGCCTCTATTCCTGCGGGCACAGTCACTGTGAATGCTGCTCAACTATCCTCCATGCCTGGTCTCCAGACTATTAACCTCAGTGCTTTGGGTGCTTCGGGAATCCAGGTGCACCAGCTTCCAAGCCTGCCCTTGACTATAGCAAATGCCTCAGGTGATCATGGAGCTCAGCTTGGCCTCCATGGGACCGGTGGTGATGGAATACATGATGACACAGCAGGAGGAGAGGAAGGAGAGAATAGCCCAGATCCCCAACCCCAAGCTGGTCAGAGGACCTGGTGGGAAGCATGCACCTGCCCTTACTGTAAAGATAGTGAAGGAAGGAGCTCTGGGGATGCTGGCAAAAAGAAACAGCACATTTGCCACATTCAAGGCTGTGGCAAAGTATATGGCAAGACCTCACACCTACAGGCACACTTGTGCTGGCACACAGGCGAGAGGCCATTCATGTGTGCCTGGTCATACTGTGGGAAATGCTTCACGCGTTCGGATGAGCTGCAGAGGCACAAACGCACACACACAGGTGAGAAGAAATTTGCCTGCCCTGAGTGTCCCAAGCGCTTCATGAGGAGTGACCACCTGTCAAAGCATATCAAGACCCATCAGAATAAGAAGGGAGGCACAGGCGTAGCCCTGAGTGTGGGCACTTTGCCCCTGGACAGTGGGGCTGGTTCAGAAGGCAGTGGGG